ATTTTTGTAATAGATCCCACCATTTTTATATTTTTTTATAATTTTAAAAAATACCCTTATCTCCTCTCTCCTTACTCCTGTCGTCTCTCTCTCTCCCTCCCTCCCTCCCTCCCTCCCCCTCTCCCCGTCTCCTTCTCTCCCATCGCTCCTTCCCGCTTTCCCTCTCTCTCCTTCATTCATTCTCCCCCTCTCACTTAAAGGCTGACTCAATTTAATTAAACATAAAATTTAGAATTCAATATTAAAAAAAAAAAACACACAGCAAATTAGCTCTTTGACCTTTTTCACGCCTTTACAAACCCAAACTTGTATGTCTCTTTGCTGTCTCCTTCTTCCCACAGAGCGATCGCAACTTGCTATGTCTTATCTCTTCTCCACCTTCTCATAGAGTCGCAATTTTCTTTGTGATCTTCCTAGTCACAATTTTCTCACAAAGTCCTTTTTTTTTCCCTTTACCTTTTCTTTCAATCAGAATTCTACATGGCGGCTAAATCATCTTCATTTAATGGCACTGGTGACATTAATTGATTACTCAACAATGAGTTATGAAGAAAAAAAAATCAACTTATAGAAAGTAGAAAGAATAATGATTGAATTTGAAATGAGTCAATAGTTTAAGTATTTAGTTACAATTGAATTTAAAGTGAGTCAATATTTCAAGAATTAAAAGATTAATTTTTTTAAGAAAAATTATATGTATCAAACTCAATTTGATAGAGACTACAAAAAATTGGATTTGGTCTGACACAGTTTCAAATTTATAGTATTTCAGGGATTTTTTTTTTTTGCTGAAAGTGTAGTATATGAGTAAATATTTTATTTCCATAATATTGAGGTCAATTTACCAATTAAAATTGGCGTTGTTTGCTTGAAAGGGAAAGCAAACAAAAGCCTGAATATCCAGTTATTATGTTAAAATGGGGATATTCCCGGGGTAGGTTCCCTAGAAAGTTTCAGATGAATGGTCTTTCATTGTTATTTGTGCTGTTGTAGGATTTTAGACTTGAGCTTCGGACTTCCATTTTGATTTGATATTGTTGTATTTGGCTGTTGAGCATAATGGAATTGAGCAATTGGTCCCAGAGGGAAAAATAAAGTTAACAAATATGCCTGTTTAAATATGCCATGAGAATCGATCATACTTACAAAAAATCATGTTTTGGAAACAAATACCCAAACACCTCAGGCGTGTTTGAATTTCAATTGAAAAAAATTAATGATAAAAAAATTGATTATTATAACATGATGATGTTTGAATAAATTTCTAAAAATTAATTTTAATAAATTGAATATGTTTGAATGATTGCTTGAAAATTAATTTTAAATGTGCAAATAGATAGTACAAAGTGTTTGCACCCAAATTGTAAACATGCAGGTCCTGACCCAACTCAACTTAATTGACTTTAAAATAATTATATGAAAAAAGAATATTTATGAAATCTTAACCATTAAGTCAAGACTTCCTAAATTCAAAGAAAGTGGCAATTATGGGGCTTGGGTATCAAGTCAAGATCATCTATAAATAGAAGAGCTTTCTCTCAATACTCATCATCAGCATCAACAAACTATTAGTCTCAAAATTTGCGTCTGTTACTTCATTTTTCTTTTTATTATGTAGCTTTAGTCTTTATTTTTTGTTGTATGGCCGGCATAGCCTGCCATCCTTTTTCTTTAATTAATGCATCTCTACTTTGTTGCATCTACATTAGTGTTCTTCACTTCACATTCTCACATCCGAGTGAACTATGGTAAGGGAGCTATGTTTGATTAGAAGTCAGGTTCTTCCATCCTCTTGAGACTTCGTGTTTCTGGCCTGCCTCGCGACACCACGCCTTAATTGTTTGTTTTTTTACGAACAATTTTTAGCACAACCGATAGAACTCGTGTTAAAGAAATGTCTAAGACACATAAGGATCAATATGTTGTTAAAAAGAATCGACCTGAGTCTTATGACTCAGAGAACGTGGCTGCACACGCAGAACGTGAAGTACAAGCTAACGAGAGGTAAAGAGCTTTGTTGCAAACTCTAAAGGAGAGGCTAGGAAACATCTCTGCTATGCTGTCTAGATCGTCATAGGAGTAAGCTCCAATTGGCTCGCACCTTTAGATAACATATGGACTCGAGGGGTAGTCTCCCAAAGTGCTCTTCGACCAAAAGATCAATAACGATGACCATTATAACATCCCTCAGAAGATAAATGGCAGGTCTAATTCAATAGCAGGCCTGTTTAGCTACAAGGGTCAAAGTTATCAGGACCAGTACCATCGGAGCCGAAGCAATTGGAGCCAACACTAAAGGGGCCGAAGCCACAAGGGTTGAAGTTATCGGGGCCAGTACCATCGAGGCCGAAGTTATTGGGGCTAGCACCAGAGGGGCTGGAGCCACAAGGGCCGAAGCCATTAAGGCCACCACCAGAGGGGCCGGAGCCACAAGGACAGAAGTCATTGGGGCCGGCACCATCGGGGCTGAAGCCATTGGGGCCACCACCAGAGAGGCCGGAGCCACAAGGGCCGAAGTCATCGGAGTCAAAGTCATTAGGGCCAGCATCAGAGGGGTCGAAGCCACAAGGGCTGAAGTCATGGGGGCCGCAACCACAAGGGCCAAAATTAAGGGGGCTAAAATCACAGGGGCTACAACCATAGGGGCCGCAGCCATAAAGGTCGGCACCGCAGGTGCCAAAGTCAGAAAGACAAGTTTTGCAAGTGCCCTTTTCATGAGAGCTCTCTCCTAAAAGGTTCTCTCCACAAGGGCCTCACAACAGCTAGATTTTACAGAATCAATCCTTAAAGTCTAAAAACTCAAAGGGTCAATTCTAAAACCAGCTCTTGAGGTTCTAAACTTTGAGAAACTTGATCCTAAGCTGGATCACATTGTCCTTAATCCTCAATCACAGGGGTGACTTTCAAAAAAAGTACCAAATCAATCATCAATCAGAACGAGAATGAGTCAATCTTTTAAGATGTATCCATTCAAAATTGGCCTACAAAGACTCTGGCCAATTTGTATGTGGGGGGTATTATTTGCACCTAAATTGTGAACATAGAGGCCCTAGCCCAACTCAACTTAATTGGCTTTAAAATAATTATATGAAAAAAAAATATTTATGAAGTCTTAACCATTAAGTCAAGACCATCACCTATGATGAGTGAACATGATGGAAGAAGTACTTCCTAAACTTAAGGAAAGTGGCAATCATGAGGCTTGGGCAGCAAGCCAAGATCATCTATAAATAAAGGAGCTCTCTCTCAACAATCATCATCAGCAATCAACAAACTACTAGTCTCAAACTTTGCATCTGTTACTTCATTTTTCTTTTTATCATGTAGCTTTTGTCTTTATTTTTCGTTGTACGACCGACATAGCCCGCCACCCTTTTTCTTTAACTAATGCATTTCTACTTTTCTGCATCTACATTAGTGTTCTTCACTTCACATTCTCACATCCGGGTGAATTATGGTAAGGGAGCTCGAGTTTCTTGCGTTTGATTATAAGTCATGTTCTTCCATCCTCTTGAGACTCTACGTCTCTGGCATGCCTCGTGACACCATGCTTTAATTATTATTTTTTTACGAACACAGAGAACAGAAATCAAATGAAGTTTTGCAAATAGAAAAAATTTCAATTTCTCTAAAATGAAGTTTCCCAAACTAGATAGAGTTTTATAAAATGAGGATGTTTGGATAAATTTTTGCAAAATCATAATTTTAATTCCAAAATTGATTCTCAATGAATATCCAAACATGCCCCTCATTTTGATCTAGTCAATTATCTTGCCATTAATCACGTTTTGTGGGAAGCAAAGAAGAGTTGCTTATGAATTCCAATTCTCCTTGCTAGTTGATTTTATTTGGTGTCAGATGCGCTTCTCACCTGTGCGCCTCTCTCCTGCCTCTTCCTCGCATTTGCTTGGTTCTCCATCTTCTACTCTCAATTATATTATGTTATAATATAATATAACTTATTAAGTTACCAGTATTACATTATAATGTAATGTAATTTAAATTTTTAATATATAATCAATATATATTTGTGTGTTAAGTAATTATATAAGTTTTAAATATATGACTATTTTATAAATATTTATATTATTTAATAAATAAATCAAAGCAAAATTAATAATATCATATAAATTTTTATTAATACCACATCTAAAATTAAAGTTCACTGAATCATCCAAACATTTTTAATTTAATTCTATCAAAATTAATTTCAAAAAAATAATATCTAATCAAATCACGTTATAATATAATTAAAATTAATTATATTAATTAATTTTTTATAATAATTATACATAATTAAAATCCAAACGAACCCCAAGTCATTTGTGAAAGTTTAGGATTTATTTGTTAATGGATTAAAAATTATTTTTATCTTTAAATTATATATAAAAAGTCACAAATACTCCTAAACTTAATTATGAATTAATTCTGTCTTTAAATTTTAAAAATTTCTTCCATTATCACTTAGTTATCAATGAGTCTTCCTATTTTTAATATTTTTTTATCAAGTTAAAGATCAATCTCATCTCTTAACTTCTAGGTCATTTTTGCCTTTAACTCACATATTTTAAAATAAAAAATTATTAAAAATATAATGCAGGACCCACAATCAATGAGAAAACAACAAAGAGCGAAGAGGAAGGAAATATTTAAAATTAAAGAATAAAATTAATTTATAATTAAGTTTAAAGATCATTTATAACTTTTAATGTTAAAATTCATGAGAAAATTGACCCTTAATCCGTTGCCAAAAAGAAACAGTGGGGAGCTAGGGTCAAATTAAACCAGAATGTTAATCAACAAACCGTCCCATGGAAGGTTAACTATTAATAACACCAGCTCATATCAAGATTACGGAAACACGTAGAACATGGCTCTCGCAAAGTATTGCTCGGAATCGTCTGTTTGGCGACGTATTCTCTTTTATGGGGTCTTCACTGACGAGCAACGACACCAATTCCTTTGTTAAACATAGCAGGTATAGTGGCAACGCGGCACAATAAGCAGTAACTAAGATGAATTACAGAAGTATGAGGAACAAGTTCTTACGTATTACACAGAACCATAAAGGTCGGATTTCACATTACACACAAGCCAAGGTTTCAATAAACTGATATGCATCCCGCCATCCGAATTGTAACGAATGGTTGGTTGGGGAGAGCATTAAGTCACAAATAGTCATAAATGTTTCATCTTTGAAGCGGTAAATAATGAGCTTACCAGGTATATGCAGTAAAAGAGAAGGGTGCTCCTCATTCTCATCCGGGATAAGAGAAAGTACAATGAAGTTATGCGAGGAAGAAGAACGCAAACAACAAGGGAGATGACCATCCGGAAAACGGATCATGTCTGGAAATGCAGGTTTAAGCTCCGCAAGATCCACTTGGTACTTAAGCGACCACTTAGAGTAGTCCCTCTCCATCTGAGAGACCTGGATCTGAGAAGAACGAGGCCCACAAATTTGTATCAGATTTAAACGGCCGCAAGCTGCAACCAGATAATAGCTACCGCCTAAATGTGGCAAGTTAGGCATTCTTCCGAGGCACTCTTGAGTGATATCAAAATAAAGCGACGAGCCTTTTGGGCTAGTCCAGTGAATTGCGCCATTCCAATACACTCCGTCCCCGAAAGCCATATCGTAGGGAGCATTAAAGGGGGAACCGGATAACCTCCAATTTCCAGTTTCACTTTCAGACGAGTATATCATTATCTGATAAAAGTAGCAGGACTCGACAGTGGCACTAACGCAGATCACGGTGTAATGAGGCGATCTGGTCGGATCAAAAGCTAGATTAACCCCAAAGATGGCGATTGATTGTTGGGCAAGAGGATAAGATTGAGGAAGAACAGAGAATTGTTTGGTAGTGGGGTTATAAACAGAATACCTTCGAGGAGTCCCGAATTTCCCCAGAGACGAGCACAATAAGAGGCCGTTGCAGGATTGCAGAATCCTTACGCCGTTGGGGTCGGGGGAGAAATGGAGGGAAGTGAGGGGAGAAACGGGGTAGTTGGAAGTGAGAGAGACAAATCGGAAGTCAGATTGGGAGTCACCCGGAGTGCGGCGGAGAAAGATGCCAGAGACCTTGGAAGAGGGGTGACGGACGGCGTGGCGGCGACAAAAAGCTGGGTGAGAAATAAGGGAGAGCCAGCGCTTGGAGACGCACTTGAATCGAATCAGGGGTTTTGCAGGAACACGAATGAGGATTTCAGTGAGCAGATCGTCGTTCTCTCCGATGACTTCGGCACTTAGCACCCGATAGCTGTCGGCGTCGGCGTCGCTCATTTGCTGTATCTTAGCTTCCGGATTCATTTCGCATTTCCCAGAATAGCACCAGCCAGCCATGTGGCTGAGGCCATAATAGCCCCCGCAATAACAACAATAATAACAACAGCAACAATAATAATAAATATTATTATTATTATTCAGATAAACCCACGAGGACTAATGTCGTCTTCATTTTTTATATAGACAGCAACTCGAATTCGATAATTTGTATTTATGTGATAATAATTTTCAGTAGTAACTTTAATTTAATTCTTATTTTTCTAAAATTATTATAAAAAAAGTAGAAACGGGCCGGCCAGATTAATGGATCCAGATGCCCTAATTCTTCATTCAAAAAAAAAAATAAATAAATAAAATGGCCCCATGCTGCCCAATTATAGAGTCAAAAATAAAGTTCGATTTTAAAGATCCTGTTTAAATAAAAATTTAAATTTTAAAAATAATTTTTTGAAGTAATTAAATTTTAAGGCTTGATTTTAATAAGTCCTGTAGAAAAGAATTTAAGCTTGAGCTGTCCTTTAAACTCTATTATATTTTTTTTTATAAAATACGTGTTTGAAATTAATAACCTATTCATCTATTTATATACATATTATATTATTATTATTTTTAATTTATTTTAAAATTAATTTAATATAACTTAATAAATATTAGTGTATAGTATAAAATTTTTATTTTTATATAATTATTGTGTTTGAGTATTTATAAAAATTAAATTATTTTTAATTAAAATTTAAATTTTATTTTAGATATGTTATTTAATTTTTAAAAATTATGAGAATTTTAATTTTCTTAATTTTAAAATATTTTAATTAATTTATAATATTTAATTTAATTTTAATTTTTTATTTTTTAAAATAAAACTTGCGGATCTGTCCTACTTTGAACTCTTCACATAAAATTAGATTTAAAAAATAAAATTAAAAATAAAAAATCGGACTTTAAATTCAGCCTTCTAAGAGCTGGGTCTTTATAGCTGGACCCGCCCGTTTTTTCAGCCCTAACCAAGTACTGGCTCTAGTGGGGAAAAAGTCCCGATCGGCGATATCATGTCACCTGTTCATGGGGGATGCCTTATCGTCAACGAAGGAAAGAAAAGCGAGGACTGGAGTTCGGCGGGTGTATCAATTTCATGGCTCTCCCAGTAGCAGTCCGTTGCCCAGGCTCGACCCTTTTATCTCCACTCTCCCCACCTCTTTCCTTCGCTGCACTTCGATTTTCGCCTCCTAAATGTTTCTTATGTTCAAGACCTGTTCTCCGCTCCCTCCGCGTCGACATCAGGCGATCTTACCCCTTCGTGACGGCCACCTTCTCCACCTCTGATGCTTTGTCCACCCCTGCTACTACACGTGATAAGAAGGTGCTGCTTCAAGTCAATGATTTGAGAGCCAAGATAGTTGAATCCGATGTAGAAATTCTTCGTGGGGTCAACCTCATCGTCAATGAAGGAGAGGTTTTTATTCCCTTTGTTTGTAGCTATTCATTTCTTTCATTTGTAGCTCGCGTAAGTAGTTGTCATTGGATTCTCTGTTTCTCAACTACCATGTTCCAGAGCCGCTGTTGTCTTCATAATCTGTAGATAAACATGCCTCTGAACATACGTTATTCAAGTGAAGCTCTGTGGTTATCTTGTATCTATTTTGACTTTTGGTTTTGTATTGTAGGTTCATGCGATCATGGGAAAGAATGGTTCTGGAAAGAGCACTTTTGCAAAGGTCAGTACGTTCTATCTTAATCCATAACTTCAAATTTATGTCTTAGATGTCTTTCGATAGCTTTTCAGACGAAAGAAACCGGACGGTGTATTGTCATGTTTTTCACTTCTACTGGCAATGGTGAGAAAGTTATATTGTACAGGTTTGGTTATGTTATTGGCGGTGGTGCTTGCCATTTAATGCCTGAAACATCCGTTGCCAACATTATGTAGTTTTGCATGAACCAACGGTCTTGTGTAAGTCATTTCAGTTAAGTGAAAATTAAGACTTGGTAATCTCTTTTTGTCCATGGAATACAGATGAAATATGAACATGCTAATGTGATGAGGTTTGGCCACCCCTTTCATAAGCGGATTTTTTTTTTTTTGGTAGGTTCTTGTTGGCCATCCGGATTATGAAGTCACTGGAGGCAGTGTTCTGTTCAAAGGGAAAAATCTGCTTGACATGGAACCTGAGGAAAGGGCACTTGCTGGCCTTTTTATGAGCTTCCAGTCCCCTGTTGAGATCCCTGGTGTTTCTAATTATGATTTTCTGGTTATGGCTCATAATGCTCGACGAAGAAAACTTGGTCAGCCTGAACTCGGTCCACTTGAGGTATATGATGAACTGATTACACCTGAATTCTCAGCCCCGTGGCCATCACATGGAATCAGCTGATTGCTTTGTACTTTGACTCGGACTACTTCTCATTATTAATTGACATTTATGGTTAAGGTTAAGGATTCATGCTTTGTATGCCAAGTAGTTTGAATACTTCAACTTCTCTTTATCATTGTAAGCAGTCATGCATAGTTGATTTGGAAAGTACATTTGTAGGTCATGACAACTGCCACCCTTTGCATTCACGCACATCTTTGCTAAGAAAACAATGCTACATAAGCCAGGAATTTTACTGATGACTTCATTTGGACTTTAACTGTTCATTATAGCATTGCATGTGAAGACATGCTTTCCAACCATAGAGTTATATGATTGTGTTCTCTTGTAACTTTCCTGTGAACTCATATTGGAGATGCTGAGTTTTAGGTGTTTTAGTGTTTTATTTGCTGATTCCTTAGCATTTGATCATTCATGAGTGGTACCTGTTTAAGTGACCAGTTTCTTGTCCACTTCTTCATCTGTATTTTTCATATAATGCCAATTGCTATGTTGATTGTTGCCCCCTATTAATTTTTTAGTTGAATAATTGAAGCCCTATTGACCTTTTTAACAAATTTGTCTTGCAGTTCCTGCCTTACCTAATGGAGAAAGTCAATCTTGTAAACATGAAGGAAGACTTTTTGGATAGAAATGTTAATGAGGGATTTAGTGGTGGCGAACGGAAGCGCAATGAAATCCTGCAGCTTGCGGTATCCTATTCTTGTTGACATTTTCTTTTAATGTTCTAACTTTCAGATTTTCACTAGTTATTTACAGATACTATCCTCTGTGATGCAGGTTATGGGAGCAGACTTGGCTATTATGGATGAAATAGATTCTGGATTGGATGTAGATGCACTGAGAGATGTAGCAAATGCAGTGAATCAGATTCTGACCCCAAAAAATTCTCTGTTGATGATAACTCATTATCGACGAATTTTGGATCTCCTAAATCCTGCACATGTTCACATAATGGTAAGTTGTTGGTCTTGAATGTTATAATGAGAGCTTTGGACTAGAAGGGAATGGCACAAGATGAAGAGAGAGCATGTTGCTTGTCTCCTTCATGTCATAGCATTTGTTTGCATATGGTACTCCAAGAATTACTGGGCAAAAGAACCTTCGATAGTTAAGATTCATGTAGATTATTCCAACCGCACTTAATTTATGCCACACAATAACTTGAATAAGAACCTTTCTTAATGGGTGAATTGGGAAGCTAGAGAAATATTAGGAGTAAATATTATTTTAATTTATTTTGAGATATTTTTTATTTAATAATATTATTTAGATTATTTTCCTATTTGTTGAGTGATCCTCAAGTATAGGTGTAGTGGTGCCTATCCTTGTAGATTAAGTAATTTTATTTTATTTATTATTTTGGTAGTTTTCCATTATAAATTAATGGGAGTATTTTTAGGAATTATTTGTTATTTTTCTATGAGATAAGGATCATTTTTATCCCTAAACTATAAATAAAAGGTCACAAATATTCCCAAACTTGACAAAGGGTCAATTTTGTTCTTTAACTTTAAAGATTCCCTTCCTCGTCATTCTGACGTTAAAAACACTTAATGTCGGTTAGTCATTAGTGTATCCCATTATTTTTTAAATATTTTTTATTAGGTTAAGGGTCATTTTTGACTCTCAACTTCTATTAGAAGGGTCATTTTTGCTCCTCAATTCAAATATTTTACGATAAAAGAATATTAAAAAAATATAATGTGAGGCCTATTAACAGTCAACTAACAGTGAGAAAACGGCAGGGTGATGAGGAAGGGAATCTTTAAAATTAAGGGATATAATTGATCTTTAATTGAGTTTAGGAGCATTTGTTTTCATGTATAGTTCTGGGATAAAAATAACTTTTAACCCTTTTTCTATCTATAAATTTAGAACTTTATGGGATGAATGATTTGGAAAATAAAATCTATGAGTTTATATTTGTGTAGATTCTCCTTGGCTTTATTAGTTGTATGAGTTTAAGATTCTTGCTCATCTCCTAAAGATTTTCCTTATTTTTATTAATCTATGAAGTTAGATTCTGATTTCATAATTTAATAGAAATTTTTCTTCCTTAATTCTTTCTACCTATTTTGGATTCTGTCATTTGATATTAGTGTTGTCCGATCCAAAGATGGTGCCCACTCATTTTGCAAACCTTCTTAACAAACCCCATTTCCACCCTTCATCTCATCTTGTTATCATCCATCTTATAGAATAAATTTTCCCAAATATGGTGGTGGAGACTTGTAGCCATGGATTTTGAAGGCTGAAAAATATTTTCACTATCATCACACTTCCAAAGACTTCAAAGTTGATATTGCATTGAGGTATTTAGAGGGAGATGCTTGTGATTTCTTCACTTGTATTAACATGGAGCATACAATTCTCTATTGGGAAGAATTAGTATAGGTGTTACAAGAAAATTATGGGCCTTTAGAATATCAAAACTTAGATGAGTTCTTGTGTAGCATCAAGCAAACTGGTTATGTGTAGGACTATTTGGAATTTGCGAGGTGCTCTGCTCGTGTCAAGAACTGGCTGAAACATTGCCTCTCGGGAGTTTTCATTAAAGGCCTTAAGGAGGAGCTGAAATCTAATGTGAGGATTTATAAACCAATGTCAGTTTACAGGACCACCAGTTTGGCCCTTGAATATGAGTTAAAAGCCCAAAACTCTTGTGGGCCCAAAACTGTTCAGCAGAACCAAAATACGCCCTTATTTCCTTTTGCCCATTATCAAACAGCACATGACTTCAAAGGAACATCAGCATCAACTTCAACCTCCCTTCAGCCAGCAACTTCAACCTTGTTTTCTCCCAAGCCAGCATTTGTGACTTATACCAGAATGACTTCCATGGACGCTGAATAGCAGGGGCTTTGTTTCCACTGCAGTGAGACTTTTAGACTTGGGCACCGCTGCAAGGGATTGTTTTCACTGCTGGAAATCACAAAGGAGGGCAAAGAAATTGTTCCTTCCCTTGAATGTGACGAAACCAAAGAGATGGAACCTGGTGGAGTTGACATTTCCCTTAACGCTATTCTGGGTAGTACCAATGTATCTGCAATAAAGCTTCAAAGGAGCTTCTTTGAACGCAAGATTCTGAACTTGGTGAATAGTGGGTATAATTGCAATGTCATACTTGAAGTTTCCGTGCAGCCTCTTCTGGAACCCAAATCGGAGATGCTACAATTTACCTATTACTTCCGTCTGAACCTCCTGTCTTGTCTTGAGGTCGAGGTGACTTTCCAAGGGGGAATTATTGATAGAGCTCCAATTAGTGTGGGATAATGAGTGAATTGGGAAGCTAGAGAAATATTAGGAGTGAATATTATTTTACGTCATTTTGAGAATTTTTTATTTAATAATGTAATTTAGATTATTTTTCTGTTTGTTGAGTGATCTTCCAGTTTAGGAGTAGTGGGGCATACGCTTGTAGATTAAGTAAGTAATTTTATTGTTATTATTTTGGTAGTTATCCCCTATTATCTGAGTTATGGATTAATAGGAGTATTTTTAAGAATTATTAGTTATTTTTCTATCTATAAATTTAGAGCTTTATATCGTGTAAAAATCATCTGGAAAATAAAATCAGTATTAGTTTATATTTGTGGAGATTCTCCTTGGCTTTATTACTTGTGTGAGTTTAGAGTCTTGCTCATCTTATACTAAAGATTTTCCTTTATATTCATTAATTTATGAAGTTAGATTCTAATTTTATAATTTAATAGAGATTTTTCTTTCTACCTATTTTGGATCCTATCATTTCTTTTTTTATTTTTCTTTTAAAAATTTCAGGACAAGGGGAAGATTGCAAGGACAGGTGACTTATCCATGGTTGAAGTTATTGAGGCAGAGGGATATGAAACAGTATCCACCTAATTTCATCCAACTAGTTTGGTAACCTCTCTCTCTCTCTCTCGCACTTGGGATGATGTTATGTCTCTTGTTTTGACTTGAATCCACTTCATATTGTAAATATTTACAAGACCTTTTTCTATGACTTCTCTTTTCTAATCTTGCATGGTTGAAAACTTAGGCTTTATAGGGTTTACTCATCTGAGGTGTCATTTGTCTTATGTTTTTACTTTGATTTGAAACCTTGCTATGTTATGATTCCATATCATGTGCCTGCTCCAATGTTAGACACCAGAGAATTGCACTGGGCTAATTTCCAGGATCCACGTTCACCTACCTTATACTAGAATTTCACTTAATTAGAATAATTTTGGGGTAAAGGGGTTTAACTTATGATAACTTGTTTATAGGGGCTTTTTACATTAAGGCAAGGTTCACTTAAAACATAAACTGAAGTTTTGAAGTACAAGGCCTATGAATAGTTTTATTATTGTCCATCACACTGTACAGATCTTTTTTGGCCAAACTTACGCCTTACATATCATAAATCCATTGTGATAAATCCCTACTATACAATTAATATCCATATTATAGTTAGGGTTAAATAGTAATTTGGACCTTGAATTGTAAGTCTAGAGGCAATTTGAACTTTAAACTTGTATTTGACATATTTCAAACGCAAAACAATTAAACGTGGGGCACTCTCTCCTCCACTGTTAATTTGAGCTAAATGCCATTACTTTAAGTGTGGAACCCTTCCCCTCCTCCCCCTCCCCACCACGCGTCTCGCTATTTGTCTTCCTCCTCATCTTTTCCAGAATGCAGTTCTTCCAAGGGATTCTCTTCAACCAAAACTACCCCAGAAACCATCTGGTCAATGCTGCTAACAAAAGCTTGGTGGTTTCGTGATCTAGGTCATCTGCTGCCAAAGATCATTGAGAAACTTGTGCGGAACCTTGGGGCATATAAAACGAATAACACGGACTTGATTGTGTAACGGAGAAACGCTCCACAAGGGAGTATTATATCTGCTCTCTGTATTGAATGTGGAATGACCTCAATTATTTAATACCAAACAAATGCTATACTTTCTTTACCTTCTCTTACCTCTGCACCTATTGGTGACTCTAAGGTACGGTGGCCTGATCTTATCTATGTACGCTTGCGTCTAGCTTCTCCATTTCTTCCCATCCATTTTATAGATTTCCTTGCAAAGGCTTCGTCCTACCGTCATCATCATGTCACTTCTAAATCAACTCTTTAGCAGAGGTGTTTTTGGCGCAAGATGGTGAGTTGTCGATTTGTAATGGAATTCCCTCGGCTGTCCCTTCCCCGTGCCGTCAAATCAATTATTGGGCCTTTTTTTTTATTTTTTTTTGGTGTCCTGGTCATAGAACCTTGGGGCGAGTAAATATAATACCTTGGGGTGATTTAGATGGAGAAACGCGAGAAGGAGGACGAAGGGGGAGACATGAAGGGAGAGAGAGTGGGGCCCACTTAAGGTAAAATTGTTTAGCTCAAATTAAAGGTAAGAGCAGGAATGTCTGAAGTTTAATTGTTCAGGATTCTAAATGTATTAGATATGAATTCAAGATTTAAATTGCTCCTAAGTTTATAGTTTAGGATCCTATACTTATCTCGCTCCTTGTTGCCATTGTCATTCTAGACATTCATGACAACAACTGCTTGATCCATTACTTTCATGCGCTCTTTATTATACCAATAATAAAAAGCATGAAAGGTGTCTTTTACATTTGTTACAGACATTGTCATTCTAGGCTTGCATTTGTTACAGACCCTAGCAATTTGTATAAGGTGTCTTTTACCATCAATGAAAATCTTGGTTGGTAGAGACATCTAGGCTTTAGCAACCTGCTAGCATATAATATATATATATATATATATATTCAACAAAGTTGATAAATGAATAATGAAGTTGCTTACAGACGTATTTCTCTTGGTTATTTGGTAGATGATAGAAATGTCTTCGAAGGATGAATACTTGAATCTCATTTCATCAACATAAATCTCAATGCTACCTCTGGAGATAGTCAGCGGAAGTGTACATCAATGCAGAGTTCTAAGCTCAGCTTCATGTTCAGTGTTAAATTGATCACCATCCAAGTTTTCTGTGCATTATCGAGTAGCTTCTTTCTGGGCGTCCTTCATGGTAATTTTCGCCGCGCCATTTATGTTTGAGGGAAAATTACCCTTTAGTATTATTTCTTAAGGCTTTTTGGGTGGCTTTTAACCATCAAGATGTGTGTGTCGATGCAAAATGATAATTTTGTTTTGCATATATAAAAGGATGTATTTGCACAATTATTTTATTAGTTTATTTAAAGGGCCTTAATTCTATATTCAGTGCTCATTTTAAGAATGTGCCCATCTTAGTTGTTCTTTTATGAGATTTGAACAATTCAAATTCATATGCTCTCCAATTTTTTTATGTATTTTAAAGAAAGTTAGTTTTTTATTGGATATTATGAAAAAAAGATATACTTTTATTTTTACCTTTTTTATATTATGATCTAATTATATTAAATATTTTCACGTTAATGGAGAAAAATAAAATTAAAAAAATAATTTAATTATTATAAAGTGGTTTATATTTTGGATTACATTATTTCTTGGTGTTCTACAAACATGAGCCGAGGGAGTAGTTGCTAATTTTTAAAAACATCATTTTCTTAGGAAATAATATACATTCATTTATAAATTATAAGCTGAAAAATAAAGAAAAATATCTCTATTAGAAAATTTGTAAAACATCACAATTTTAGTAAAATTGTACTTTCAATTCACTAACTTCAAACAAAATTTTACTTTGATTTCTTAAATTTATAAAATGTTTATCCATTTTTTTAATCTTAAGATAGTTAATTTTGTTAACAGAAAATGATGACACTGAAATTTCAAATACTAACAGAATTCTTAAATGATAATCTTTTATCCAAGTATTTTAAATTTTTTAAATTAAATGAAATATATTAACATTTGATAATTTTTTAGTATTTTAAATTGTAATATTGACATTTTTTAATTGATGACACAAATAATGATAGTATTAAATAATTGAGATGATATTTTATAAAATAAAAAAAATTGATTGATGGAACAGCGACACGTCTTCATTTTGCAATCCAATGACAGAGAATTGTTGATCCTTTATTTGAAACTTGGAGGTGGTTGTTAGATATTGATTTGATCACCAAGCCTTCTTCTGGCATTTTCTTTTACATTTCTTACTTACAAAAACATTGAAGGGTTAAAAAATATTTTTATCTCTCAATTATTCATTTATGAGTATATGGTATTCAAAATCTATATGTTGTGTAATTTCTTTTTTTAATATTTGAAAATGATATATTGAACATCTTGCTAATTAATCTCAACTTTTAATTGATTAATATCCCTCTTTGAGTAATTTTTTCACATTTAATTCCACATTCTCATTTTATCAACATCATAAACTCACTCTCAATCATACTTAATGAGTTTACTAGGTCCCAACAACTCATATTATCATCAATGAACTATTAAACCATCATTAATAGCTATCAAACACTTCTAACAACCTTAAATGGTCCTTAACAACCAACAACTCATAAAACTATAAATGTGGGGTTGAAATACTTTAAACAATTCATTATATTTATTTTAGTTAGTGAGTTTGGACCCATAGCTCATATAAATTGAAAATTACTCTCCCAACTTAAACCCTAACATTAACCTTCATGAAAATTGGAAAAAAAAAAAAGGGAAGAGAAAGGCTTAATGTACTTTCTTTGTGTGCTAGGAAGTTCCAAAATATCTTCAATGATCCTGAAGTTCTTGCCTTAACAGAACAATAGATGTGCTCTTTGTTTCTCTCTCTTTTTTCTTCTAATTTTTTAAATAGACACAAACTAGTTTAACCAGAATTTTTATCGTGTGCCATGGTGCATATAGCCTACGCCATGGCACATGATTTAGAGAGGCCTATCCTTTGTTGGTTGCCTTTATGCATCACGGCAAATGTTCCTCATGCTACGGCATGTGGCACAAAGAATTTTTTTTCAATTCTTTCTCACCTTTTGATGCCTGTATGGCCCGACTTCACTTTAAACCCGTATTTAGGATTAAAATTATGATTAATTACATAAATTAAACCTTTCTAGCCATACACTACATCAATAAAATTAATTACTTTTATTAAGCTTAATTAATCGGATTTAATTTTCTATGATGTTATAGAATACACATACTCTAGGTATTTGCAAGCTTAAAATAAAGCTCTTAAGGGTTCAAAAATCAAAGCCCTAACAGCCTTGTTGCTGCCCTTCATTGCTCTTCTATTTATCCCTTTTTTTCTTTTGTCTTTGCCAATGTAATAAATGGTATAGAGAGACTTGTCTGAATTTTTGTCCTCTAATTGGGTCCCAATAACCCAATTCCCTTTTCGACCTGATCCCAAGGCTTTAAACAAACCCGATAGGCCCATCAATCTTTTCCAACCATCCTCAAATTAATTAGCACATAAATTCACATAATTAACCTTAGTTTAGTCCTTAAATTTGAAATTTCAAATTTTAGATGTTACACAAACATTATACATCAGTGCCCTGTGGGAAAAATAATACAAATAAATTTTACTTTGATCACCAAGCCCTCATCCATTGTAATTGTTGTGATAATAATTGTGTAGTCCCTTGGGACTTGTTTGGCATTTTAATTCTTGTAAAATGACATATTTACCCCCCAACTCTCATAAATCAATTAACTTTTAAGATTGTAAACTGACTTTTTTGTTTAAGAAAATGTCTGCAGCAAAATGGCAGATGACAAGTGCCTCTCTATCATTGTTTTCAGAATTGGACTAAATTGGATGGTCAAATTGATTCGATCGTTGACCAGAATCAGTAATGACTCGATTTGGACAAAAATTTTTTTTTCATAATTGAGTTGGGTTGGACTGTAATTGAACTGATAATGAATCAAAATTTTAAGTTGAGTTGAAAACCGGAATAATTTTTAGAAAATCAGATTTTAAACATAATATAAAAAATTCTATTTTTATAAAAAAGGAAAATTAAAAAATTAGGACTACTAAAAGATTATTTTTTTTTAGACCCTTTGCATGTGTATAATATAATTTTGGAAACATTTTTTTAGAAAGATGTTGATAGTTATAAGAGTCAATATAGATATTTGAGTATACTTATATTTGATTTAATCAAATTCACATATATTTGACTAGTTTTAAAATTATGATTTGTAATAGTTTATGTATGGTCATATTGTTTTATTTTATAACAACTATATGTATTGTGAATTTATTATACACACATATTATACACACACACATATGTTTAATATTATTTTTATTTAATTAATATGTCATTAATTTGATCAGTGTTCTAATTGATTGAATCATAGAAACCAAAGCTTGTTGAATTTTTTAATTTAACATTTAGTTCTATTTTTAAAATATTACTCTCTATAATTTTATTTATTATCAAAGTCTAACTAAAAATTAGTAACAAGTTAAGATTAAAAAATGACTACTTTTTTTTTTAACAAAGACTAAAATTGAATAACGAAATATTCTAAAGTTTGACCAACTTTCTATTATTTTTCATAAAAGTAAAAAAAATGTTCACATTAAAATTAAAATTGCTCATATTACCCTTTTTAAAAAAAACCCAAAACAAAAACAACAAAGAAAATCAAAGAAAATCATGTTTGCACTTTGGACCTAAGGCGATCTTGGTTCAGTTCCCTATAAATATAATTAGGGTTCGCGATGTTGGGTTTTAGGCCTATGCGCGGAGAGCGAAGAGCCTGAAGCGTGAGGACGTATCGATGGCGTCAAGGGTTTCTCTGAAAGCGAAAGGCAAGAATTCCAAGAGCTCCAAGGCATCGGAGGAGCGATCGGCGTCTCAGTGCCTGAAAGAGTGGAGCACTTGGGCAATGAAGAAAGCCAAGGTCATCACTCACTATGGCTTCATCCCCTTGGTGATCATCATCGGTATGAACTCAGAACCGAAGCCCCATCTCTCACAGCTTCTTAGCCCGGTCTGATCAGATTTTGTCAGCTTAACTATGGGCGTTAGCCCTTTTTTCCTGGCTAGTGGTCGAATTGATTTCGAACCTTGTTTCATGTACTTTTCTTTCCGCATTGTGTGTTTTTGAATATTTTAAGTAGGTCATGTGATGTGATGAAGATGTAAAAGAATAATGGAGATATATATATATATATATATATAGTATTGTCTCCATGCTTAGTTTATTGACGCGATTCATACCACTTTATGTTTCCCATTATTGTTCATCTGGACGGATGAAGAGGTACTGGTTTGATCAAAGTAGAAGACTGGTACGTTTTGGGATTTCTTCTTATGCCAGTTTAATCGCCGTTTTAGACTTACTTTCATATTCTGTGCGGTGCTGAGGGAAGTTTAGAATTGCTGGGGTCCATCCTTTTCTATCCTGCATAGGTTGAGGGTATTATTGGAACTCCCATTTTCTGACGACTTTGTGATGGTCACTTCGGAGATGGAGCATGATTTTACTTGGTTTTTAAAATTGTAATCTTTTAACTGTCTTCTGTTTTTTAACTTGTGAAGCTGAGGAAAACCATGGTAGATTTCATTTTTCTTTTTGTCATTTTCTATATTTTAATATGAAATAATTCAACTAAATATAACAATATAAACAAAACACATTTTATTATCCCACTATATGCATAATAAAAGATAACTACAACATTTGAATCAGCTTCTTGTGGCTTAGACACGGATTGATTCTGCTGGTTGTTTCAATGCTCAGTTGGGTATGCATTTTGCAGATTTGGGAAAATATAAAAGTGAACTTTTCAATCATGCCTGACTTGCTTTATAAGTGGATATTTTCATCCACTTGCTTCATTGCAGCCTCTGATGATCTGGAGATAACAAAAAAAAAAAAAAAGGGTCGTGGATGTATTTGATTCCCAAGGTTATAGTTTTCAAGCTGGTTTTGTTAAAAGGAGAATTATGTAGAATGCTTTTGCTTCTCAATTAATCACTACGATTAATTGCTTTCGGCTTTAGGCAGTTCCGCGTTTTCGAGTTTTCCCAGTCCAAGACTTAAAGTTGTCCCACAATGTCAAGTTCAGCTTGAGTACGATGATCGTTGGGGGATAATTTAAGAATGATATGCTTTCGGGGTTTTTTTAGATCTGTTGTTTTAGATATCAATAGACTAGTACTGATGACTTGTCAATGGTGCTGTGATGTACTTGAGGTGTTTTTTTTTTTTTTTTTCCTATGACAAATAAATTCAAGTCTTGCGATGTGTTTAGTTCAACACAGGGAAGTATGGGGAAAGGATTTCAATAGAAAGGTGGTGAGGGGAGGGAAGCGTGCTGGGTGCAGACTAGACTTGGTAGAGACGAGAAGTTAAGGAATTATGAGAGCCAGAGGTGTCGAGTCTTTGTCCTCTTTAAGACAAAGGATAATATAGGAATATTAAAATTTCACAGGGTTCATAATAAAATATGGTTCCATTTCCCTCCAAAACTCCCCAATTTAAGAGAGGGAAGATTTGTTAAAATTTTCCTTCCCATTCCTTTCATTTTGGTAAATTAACTGAGGGAAAGGGAACAAAATCTCTTACCTTCTCTCCCCATCTCTTCAAAATTCTTAGGCTTGGTTTCGATGATGAGAAAAAAGTGTGAAGAAAATACTTAGAAGAGATTTCAAAAAATAGTGAATTTTGACAAAATTTCACTGGGTGCGGCCTTGCTAGTTTATGGTTTGTCCTCAGCACTCAGCTTTCTCTGTTTCTGTACCATCAAGTACTGAAAATGATGGATCACCAATCGTTAGTCTTTGTGAACGGCGAACCAAGATTTTATGTGCTTAGCTAGGGAAATGAAGTGCTTGAGGGATATGAACGCATCTGGATTTTATCCATTGCACTTTTAGAACGAGTCCCGTGTCTTCCCGAGGGCATATTTATCAGCCCTATAGCTTTGGGCTTGGTCTGATCACCTCGGCCTCCGAACTTAAGAAACAGTTCACAATCCGAAAAAGAACTAAATAGAACCGAAATGGTAAAGCCAGACGGACAATAGAGGGTATATACTATATACAATTATACATATAGTATACAGGAGTTAAAACAAAAAAAACAAAAAAAAACAGAGAAGTTGGCAAAATATACCAGAGATTGGGTGGGTAAATATGAATGTGGATGGGACTTATTCTGTCAGTCATAATAAACGAGGATGCGGCGGGGCACTTCGTGATTCTGAGGGCAAGTTTCAGGCTGGTTTCTTTTGCAACCTGCATGAAGGAGATCACCTTTCTGCTGAACTGTGGGCTGCCCGCTTTGGATTACGTACAGGTTGGGACTTGGGATTGAGGAGACTAGTTCTAGAATCCGATTGTGCAGTTGTTTGTAATATTGTGGTGGATGGTGATGTTTCTAGGCACCCAGACGTCAGTTTAATCATGGAGATCAGAAGTATAATCCGGCGCCAGTGGAAAGTTATTGTTAAGCACATCCCTCGTACGGCAAACAGAGCTGCGGATTTCTTGGCTCATCAGGCGCTTGATGCTTGGCTGGGACTTCACACCATGGGACGCCCCCCCTTTGGGTCTTTCGTCTATTTTAGAGTGTGGAAAACATAATAATTGATTTATATAATTTTATCCAACTTTGCTTTTAGTTTTTAAAGTTATTTTCCTGTGATTTTGGTCAAAAAAAAAATTATAGGAATTGAAAGCATAAAAAATATAGAAATTATAAAAATCTAAATAACAAACGTCACCCAATTTTATAAAAATTATAAGAATTAAAAATATTAAAAAAAATTACAAAGCTAAAAGTAAAATTTAATAAAATTAGAGAGGCTGATAATTGTATTTTTCTTTGGAGTTTGAAGTTTCCTGTAATAGACATTAATTTTAATGACATAGCTTCGCTTCTTTTCTTATGACAAAGAAAGGAAAAAAGAAAAGGGAGAACTAGCTTGATAAAGTCCGTGGTATACCTCTTCCCAATGAAAAGGCAGCTACTATCTTTTTTGGTTTCTGTTAACATTTTTTATTTTTAAAAATTATTTTGTAATATAAATTTTACAATTATTTTTAAAATAAAATAAAATGAAAATTTATTTGGTTATATTAATTAAAAAATAATTTTAAAATTAAAAAATAAACTGATATTGATGATTATAAACAGTTAATGGTGATGGTTAATAATAAAAATTGATCAAGAAAAATTATAATTTTCAATAATCAAATGCAGTGTATTTTAAAAATAAGAAAAATAAAATAAAAACAACTTGAAGTTGTTTATATTTTTTGTTTTTTTTAAAAATAAAAATAATTTTAAAAATAATTAAATGAAAAACACTTATGCAAACAGATTTTTAATTTTTTTATTTTTAAAAATAAAAAAATTAAAAAAATAGAAAACAAACAGGACTTAGAACTCACTTCACAATTCCATTGTCAATCCGACCCAATTTTATCTCCCCGGCTTCCAGATACGCCAAGCACAAGGCATTTGAATCCCCATTTTGTTTTAAATAAACTCTTTGGTTTCTTTTTGGGTACAAATGTACTTCCTTGATTTACGGACATACAAACACGCAAGACCTCGTTGATAAAAAAAAAAAAAAAAGCCTTCATGTTATTTAATCCCAAAATAATAGTACCCATAATTAATCTAAAGAAGGTGGAATTAGACTCTTATACCAAATTGACAGAATATGGAATAATAGTTAATTATAATAATTAGAATTTATTTAAGATATTATGAATATCCATTAAGAATATTTATATCAGGATATTTAATCATTAGAATCATGATTTATTATTTAATTTATCGCTATCATAGATATTAGCATCTTTAAGATTATAATTAGATTTAGGATTTGAGACTTAAATTTAAATTTTTATTATTTTATTATTTTTAAAGCTTTACAAATAGAGTTACGTTTTTCATTTGTATTTAGCTTTTGAGATTATTGAATAAAAGTTTTCAAGAGGTTCAACCTTCCCCCTCCTCCTTTCTCTCTCCATCACCTTTCTCTTCTCTCTTTTCTCCCTCTCTTCTTTCTTGCTTTAGATCAATTTGGTATCACAGCTTAGTTCTACCTGTTGGATAGGAAGGTGTAGCGAAAGATTAAAATTTTAAAACTCCTATCATGATATGGACCGAACGAAGTGGTTTAAGTCAAGGTGGATAGAAGAGTTACCTTTTAATTTTTTGAAATTGGCGCACATTTGGATCTTAGAAGTTGATAACATAGATCTGCTCCCTCTATTGATATCTACACAAACAGCTCTCTAACTCGAACAGCGTGCTAGGGCTCTCAGTGTTTGCTCTTCTTTAAACATTAATTTTTTTTTTCTATAGGATGTTTCGTGACTTTCAAATATTTTTGCTGTCAGAACTTTTTTAACTCTCTCATGTTTCATAAGAACGTCCCTATCTATATATAGTATATAGATAAGGGTTTTCTTCTTCCGCTTAAAAGCTCACGAAAAATTTAATTAAATTTATCTCATAAATTTAATCCATAATATCATATCTAATTTAAATTTATCTTATAAATTTAAATTATACAACTGACATGATATTCTCTTTTATCATGTTAATTATTAAATTTAATCTATCATATAAAATTAAATTTAAAACTAACATAATATAACATAATATAATATATATAATATATACATATTATACACACACACGAATATATATACATATATATTTTGAAAATACACACACACACACACACACACACACACACACACACACATATATATATATATATATATTATCTATATTTAATTTTATATATCATATACATATAATATATATATATAAAATTATATTTTAAATTTTATATTTCATAAAATATAAATATAAATATATATATATGTTTATCAAATAAATATTTAAATATATATATATATATATATATGTAATTCATTCACCCTACATTACATTCATTGAATCTAGACATATTTCAAATTCAATGAACTTGGACGCTATAGCTCGAGTTGGGCTGTTGTTGTGTGCGATCCTGTAGGCCCATATGAAATTGACAGTAGGGTAATTACACTATTAGCCCACAAGTCACAAGTAGCCTTTAGCAAGACATTGTAATTACTCAATTCATATAAGGATTGATGATCCAATGTAACCTATCATGCAACCATATCACATCCCTTTTGTCATATGATATTTCAGTCAAGTACGAGACATGAAATTGTCATTTTTCTTTACTTG